TACATGCTTTCAGATTTACATAAAATATTACATTGCAACAGACAAAAAGTTTTATTAAAGGACGCTCAATGTTTTTTTTCTTATAATTATCTTATAATTTACCATATTTAAAGAATTTTTTTTTATTTTTATCAACTTTCATAATTTCAATCCAAACGAATTTGGAAGGGAACTTCTTAGTTCTGTAGTTTTCTCCCTTGCAGCTTAGCAGAAGGCTCAAATTTAAATTCGGAACAAGCACAGAATTTTGAATTTAGAAACATATCCTAAACTGTATTCATGAAATTCCATTTTTTTCTTCCCGACAGGTCATTACAAAGGCAGTTTTAATGGAAGAACTTGTTTGATAAGTAGCTTTCTGCTGTTGCTTTGTTTTCTAAATTAAATAAATGGTTACTTAGAATTTTTTACACCAAGCTCTTTAATAGCATATTATGCCTGTTATCTTTTATTTATTTTGTATTACAAATCAAGATTATCATATCTTAGACTAAATATTAGTTTTAAGTGATGACAGAAAAATGGTATAAGCTAGCACAAAATTACTTGGCAATTTTTTCTCTAAGTTCAGCCCAATTCCATCTATCTGATGGCGTCACACCCCACATATCATGTTGGAGGATCTGAAATGATATGAAAATGAAAAATATATTTAAAATGTCGAAAGCGAATAATACATGAGTGTATAGAAGGGAAAGGGGATTAACTTACCCCTTTAGAAACTGGACAACCTTCATATGTCTCGTATGTTCCCAACTTTTCGGCTAGTTCACAGCTAGCCTCTAATGCGGCAAAATAAATGGTTTCAAAAATGTCTGCATTTAGCTTTTGAGCTTCTTCACTATCAAATGGATATCTCATCAGAATAAAAGCGTCCGCTAAGCCTTGAACTCCTATTCCAATGGGCCTATGACGTTTATTTGATTTTTCCGCNATTTGATTTTTCCGCCTGAGTAAACGAGAAAAAAATAAATTAGAAAGCTATTAAATCCAATTTTTTACATTAAACATACAATAGTAGACAAAACATTACAAACTAAGCTTCAGAGAAAAAAAATTTAATTTAACTAAAAAGGAAAACACTTAAACTCTTATCCCATGGATAGATTTAAAAAAAAAACAAATTCTACAAATAATAAAATTTTTTGGAAAGAAAAAGGTAACTTATTTTTACAGAAATTTAGCTAGAAATAAGGAAATGAAATGAATATTAAATCTAATTTTATGCAGAAATGATACAGCTAAATAAGAAAAGATCTCAGCCGAAATGGTATTTCGTCTCAGATAAAAGAGTGGATTTGAGTAAAAATGTAGCTTTAATCAGCAAGGAGTTCTAGCCAGCCATAGGTATAATTTATAATTGGTACATAAATAAGCTAGGCATGAAACGAACATTTGTCGAATGTTCGTCAAAGTTTTTTTAATTATTAAAATCTCTATAAAGATTGCTCCAAAATCATATTTTTTACTATACATTATTAGAAATAGTATTTACACATATTTGTTAAGGTCTAAAATCTGCAAATTTATGTTCTGAAAGACAAATGAAGAAGCGAAATTTAAAGAATTGAAATTAGATTACTTTATACAAAATCTAGAGTTTCGTACAGCTGAATTTTTAAAAATTATATTTAGGCAAGTGAATACTGGACATATACTGGACTGTCTTGGTCTGGACAAAAGGGACATTCTTAATAACACACTTATGGTGGCCGACTTCCTCCGGGTGATGAATTTCATGGACATAGTTTAGCCCTGCTAATTTTGGGGATAAGGAAGAGAGAAGAGGCAAGTGAATATTGCCATATTTATAACACTTTGTTTAGAGAATTGAGAATGTTTCCCCCCTACCTGTTTCTGCTATTTTTATTACAACACATCATTTAAATGAAGAACTAAGAACAATTTTTTTTTTTTCTGTTTCTCTTTGCTAATTTTTAAACATCGTTTTTATAATGACACAACATTTTTTAAAACAGTGTTTCCATTAAAAGTTAAATTAAGATTTTTAGTTAGAAGAATGATTATTATTTTGGTTTCTATCTAGCTTAAAAAAAAGCTTTTATCAACTTTTTTACTGTGACATGGTAATTAAGAAGGTTTCTATTTCTTCACCTCTTTTCAAAAATATGGTTACTTGAAAACAGATGTTCAGATTTAAAATGTTTTTCGTTTTTTAAAAAATTAAGACATATTTTTATTTTCTCTTTTGAGTAGTATCTGTTTTTATAGGCATAATTGACCTATAGGTGCATATTAATGAAATAAAGTTAATGAGCAATAATCTTTCAAATGGATTGTAGGCTTTAAAAAAAATCATTTCTTCGTTAGTAAGAAAAGTATGAAAAAAAAGATCAAATTTTATTTGTTCTTATAAATGTAAAAGGCAGAAAAAACTCCTTGCAGAGATTACAGAATTTTCGTACAAGACATAACCATCCCTGCCATTTTTCTTAAAAAATAAATAGGTGAAGATTTATACAATAAAAGGGATCAAATCATGTACTACAATTTACACACAATGTGCATTCCTCAGAATTTTGAAATTAGTTAATTTAATTTTTGAATTTAGTTTAAATTTTGTTAGACGTTTTTGTTGCAAAATGTCGCAGAAAAACACAAAATATGGGTATTTGATGCTAAATAATGCAAGAAGTACATTTTGGCACACTTTGTAGCAGCTGTATCATTCCTCTTTCATGTCTAATACAACAGTATAAAAAAATGTCATCCTGTATAAAAAAAAAAAGAAGAATGAAATAATAATAAATTAGGTTACCTGAGGAACAGGATAATAATTTACATCTATGATTTTGTTTAGGTTAACAGTGATAACTTTGGTCACTTCTTTTAGCTTGCTAAAATCAAATTCTCCATCTTTCACATATCTATTAAGAGCAATGGAGGCTAAATTGCATACAGCAACCTAAAATAAATAAAATAAGGGTTATTTTAAAGTATTATATCCAGCTAGGGGAAAAAAACCCAGTTTATTTCAGTATTTTATATTAAAACTGGCTTAAAGATTTAAAATAATGTTATCAAATGCACTGCTTTAAAAAGAATGTGAATATTGGGTATATTATGCATTTTACAGATTAAGCAGGGGTCTGTCCAGACATTTTGTGAAAGATCCGGTTTCTGTAAAATTGTGAAAAAATTACTCGAAATGTGCGAATATAAAATAAGTGTTAAGTCACATTCTTTTAACCAGGGTCTTGTTTTGTGAAAATAGGGTCCTGTTATAGCAAAAAGTCTTTTCAAAGAGTTTTTAAACTGTAAATGGATAGTAGATTATGCTCAACACTGTAAAATAATAATAATAATAATAAAGAAAAAAAAATTCAAAAATGAAGAGCTATTGTTGCTACTAAATTAGAGATGCAACATACAAATATTTGGTATTTAGCCTATACTGCACTACACAGAATATTCATTTCGGACAAATAATGTGGAAACAAAATCACTCACATTTTTAATAATTTTATTTGACGTATTTTAAATACAACTTAGTTATGTATCACTTCTAATGTGTTACACATTAAGTAAACTTAAACAACTCTTAAATTTATAATATTTTTAAAAAAAAAATTGACATAAGTTAATTTTTATTTACATAATATTTTATTAATCAATTTTATGAGTAATATATTGCTCAATTATTTATTTACAAAAAAATATCAATAAGAATGTACACACGATGTTTGTAGAAATAGAAATATTTTCTTAGAATACTACATTTGGAATTTATAAATGTTTTTTGACTTCAAAGAGGTTAAGGTACATAATATAAATGAAATCAAACTTAGCCTTAGAATTAAATCAGAAAAACATGATTAACAAAATATTAGAGCAATATACGTTGGTTACCACAGGGATGAGAGTAGTCAGAAAGTAAAAAAGAGGAAATCCAAAAAACAAAAAAAAAGAAAGAAAAAAAAATGAAATATACATATATATATATATAAACAAAAATTTGACAAAAAAGTGCGATTTTTAAACTTGTAAACCATGTGAATATAAATCCCGATATGAGACTTTTAAATCACGTAAATATGAAACTCTACATCGAATTTAAAAAATGCGAAAATACAAATCATGATTTTTTAATTTTTTGATCACGATGCATAATTTTTAAATAGCGCGATATTACAACCACAAAAACGAATCACGATATTGGATTTTAAGCTCACGTGAATACGAATTGCTACATAGGGCTTTACGTAAATACAAATCGCAATATTGATTTTTTAAATCTCGTAAGTAAGAATCGCACTGTACATTATTTAAATTGCCTGAATAAGAATCGCAACGTTCAACTTTTAAATCAGGTAAATACGAAAATCGAGATTTGATAATAAAATCGAGATTTTAAAAATGCATAAATACAAAATACGATATTGGATTTTTAAATGTCGTAAATAAGAATCGCAATGTGCAACTTTTAAATTGGGTAAATACGAAAATCGATGATTGATATTAAAATCGTGAGAATAAAAATCGAGATCTGAATTACGAAAATACGAGCTATCCAGCCGACGGATAAAAAATACGGAAAATCTTATTTTCTGTGCGTGAAATCGGAGAAAATAAAAATAAGTAAAAATGCGGAAGGGTTAACAGCTAGGGCGTAGATTGAATTTTCTGTTTATCTTTGAAAATCGTAAATAAATATAATTATTTTACTTCAATGACTGAATTTAAAAAAAAACGGGATATTTATTTAAAAAAACGAAACTTTTAGAGAATTCGAGTTTTTGATAAAAAGGCTGAAATTCGAGCGACAAAAAAAATCTCATCCCTGTATAAAGGTCAACCAGTTTTATCCCAAGGAAATGATCTTTAGAGAAACTTCAGAGGGAGGAAAAGGGACTTCAACAATTTCCCTCCGCGGAAAATTAAATTCCTCATAAAACATTTTAACTTGGGCAAAAAAAAATTTCAGCGGAAATTAGCGGGAAAAATGGAAAAATCTGAAAAAAAAGCGGAAATCCGCGGAAGAATCTCATCCCTGTTACCAGTAGATTTGAAAATAACTATAATAGCTGAACACTCAGCATCAGTCAATTTCCCCCGCCCATCTACAATACGCATATGTCTATAGAGTGTCTCTTGTGAACAGTGGGATTAAAAGATAAATTATTTTGTGAAGGGTCCGTTTTTAAGTTAAAATATTTTATGAAGGGTCCATTGTTATGAAAAGATATTTTGTGAAGGTTCTGTTAACAGACCCAAGTTTCGTCTGAACAGACCCCTTTTAAGTATAAGGCCCAGACTCGAATTTATAAACTAAAATTATATTAGTCTTGATCACATTCATGAAATTTTTTTTCTCTCCCTTCTTCATCTATCTTTACACACTTTGAAGAATGTTTTAAGCATATCTTAATAAACATAAAATTCGTAATAAATTTAACATTTTCAGCAATTATATTAAGAGAAGCCAAAGTAAATTGAGTCTTATTCGCACTAAACTTTTAATCACTGAATGTTTTCTACAAAACTTGCACAATTTTTACTTGACATTATAACATAAAAATGTTCTGAATGAAATTTACCTCATCTGGAGAGCTATATTCAACAACTTCAGTGCACAAGTTGCTGCATTTAATTGTACCTAGGTTTTGTTGGTTAGATTTTCTGTTGCAAGCGTCTTTGTACAACATGTAAGGAGTTCCTGTCTCCGTTTGTGATTCAATAATTGCATACCAGACCTCATGAGCACGAACTTGTTTTCTGAATTTTCCTTCTTTTTCATACCTAGTAACAAATATAAAGTGGAAAAATAACTTTAATAAAATTTTTTCCGTAATAAATGTTACAGCTTCCACATAGTTCCAAATCTGGTGAATGCATATCAAAATTTACATAATTATTTTGCTAAATATCGTTAAATTACACTTCAACGTCAACATTTTTCATTAACATACTGAATGCCGACATAGAAATAATAAAATTCTATAATTATTTTAGACATTCATTAATTTTTAATAAGACTCTTTAAGAGACTATATACGTGTAGAAACATGCAACAATGTTTTTCGGCAGGAAGAATGAGTTTTCCTTTTATCAGGTAGTTAAAATAGATTATGAGAGAAAAATGGAAAATTTAAACCCACAGGGAAGAAGAAAGCATTAGAGAGTAAAAAACAAGGAAATTGCAAGCAAAGTTAAGAGAAAAAAAAAACCAAAACAAGAGTTTTCTTTCTTGATTACCTTAAGAGGATGCCATGGGACAAACTTTTCATTACAAATTCTCTTTCACCTCCATAACTAATTAAAAATATAGAAAAAGTGAGCTCAAACAAATATAGAATGAGCCAATGAAAATAAATTATGAGAAGATAACTTTAAGCACCGGAGAAGTTCTCTTCAAATAATTTGTTTGCATTTCGATATTTTTTTTTCCAGCAATTGCAACTTCATGGCTTTTTCTAGGTTTGCCTCAATACATTCTTTCTTTTAAATTAGTATTGGAGGTGAAAGAGAATTCGGGACGAAAAATTTTCCTGTTAGATGGCGTTCTCTTTAGCAAAAATAGAAAGTAACCATTCAAATATCATGTAAGCAATTAATGGAATAGGGTTGTGATTTGCTTATCTTTGGCTTATTCTAGGCAAGAGGGGAAGAGGAGAGGCATGGGCAATGCTTTTATCAGGGATGAGATTAGCCAAAAG